ATCCTATCCCCTTTTATCCCGTTTTTATCTTCACTGCATTCGATTTTATCTGAAGTTTTTCAAATGTTTTGATCCCCACTGCACTGCCAGGACTCAGAGGGGACACAGCCCCTTCCATCCAGGAAAAAAAAATTTCCTTAAGAGAAGCCACAAAGCTCAGCCCTGATCCAGAACTGGTGGGAAGCAGGGAATCAGTCCCAAATTGTGGATAAACACCCGGGGAAGGGTGGAACAGTTTGGTGGGAAGGGAGCTGCTGATGCTCCGAAGGGTGTCCAAGGGTGCTCCTCACCCACTCCTGCTGCTGCTCCAGGACTGCAGCCACCAGCTCCAGAAAAACACAAAAAACTTGGATTGGCAGCTTTCAGCCATGGGATAAAGCCCAGCCACCCCTCGTTTTTTAACCATGATCCCTTCACCTTCCTCAGAACTGATTCCCAAGGATTTTCCTTGCCACTGCATTTCTATTCCAGCTGTTTGGTTTTTTTTTTTTTTGTCTGAAAACGAATTTAGATTCTCACTTTTCAGTTTTCTATTCCCAATTTTCTCCTGCCATTGACACAATGCCTGTTAATTTTCCCACCCAATGAAAGGAAATTTTCTATGGAATTCATCCCAAACTCTGGCCACGCTGCCAGAACCCTCCTGGCTCAGAGATCCACCAGCCTTGCCAGCTTCCCCTCTCCCATTTCTCCTTCCTCCATCCCTCCTGTTTTCCCAGAGGCCTCTCCCTGGGCTGGAATTGGGCAAAGATTCCCCGTGATCCATCACAAAGTTACAGTGACAATCCAAGGGGAGCCATTCCCTCTAATTACTGCAATTAAAAGCAGTGTTGCTTTGATGAGCAGATTCCAAATATCCGTGTTCTGCCAGCTGGGGGCGGGATGAGGAAATGATGGGAATAGGAAAGGAATGATGGACGTGGAACAGCGTCACCCAAATGTCCTGGTGACACGAAGCTGCTCCAGGAAGCACGGGAAGAGCTCTTCCCTCTGGATTGATGGAATTCCCAGGGAAGGGACAGCTCCCACTGTCCCAGGCTGCTCCAACCTGACCTTGACACTTCCATGGATCCAGGGGCAGCCACAGCTCCTCTGGGAATTCCATCCCACGTGGCCATGTGGATGTTTGGGAGCAGAGCAGGAATTGTTGCTGATGGAAATGGATTTGCTCAGAATTCCATGGAAAGGCTCCTGTTCCCAGGGCGTT